TGTTCGGGTTCATAGGAAGCCGCATAGGTGTTGCCCATTGCTGTTTGGGTTCATAGGAACTCATGTAGGCGTTATTCGAAATTCTTAGCTGCTATCCGGAGTCGTAGGATCACCGTACACATTTGCTAGTTGCTTACCGGAGCTGGAGGAGGTCGTAGGATCACTATACTAGCTCGCTAGTTACAGTCAGTAGTTGTAGAAAACCGTAGGATCACCTGTTTGCACCTCTCATGGAATTCTTAACTGCTACTACAACTTGTTCTACTGTTTTCTTCTTTTCTCCGCAATTTATTTAAATTCTCTGCAAATTATATTGTGCTTTGTGAGTTAAACATGCAACAAGAATATCAGCAGCAGATACGCCACGTACACAGATATATTTTATTTGTTGTTGTTTCTTTTTTGCAATTACTCTTGCTCTAAAAGACATTATGCAGGTACTGAATATAATCTCACTTTCAAAACAAAACGATTTTTCAAAATTAAACAACATTTTCAAAAAAAAAAAGTAACACGTTCTTTCAAACTTACGGGAGTCCCTCGGAGGAGGTAACCCACAGTTGCTAATGAGATCTCCCCGGTTTAAATGGGTTTCACAACTCATTTAAACTAAGTAAGTTCAAAACAAAATAGTGATACCAGAACGAGGGAACCGTGGGATTCTAACCAGTGTCGCTCTAATCAACTTGAACCCTCCCCAATGACAACCAAACTGAGACATTGAAACACACTTGGTAAACTGTTTGAACTTTAGACTTTAGGACTGTTACTGCGACGAGGAACTCAGAGCAACTTCGTGGGCAGCACGGCAAGGAGTTTGGAGCGAACTACAGGTGGAGGTGGTCGTCATTCTACAACAGCAGAATGAGCCTACACCAACTAAACTTTCATAGTTTAAACAACCTATAGGACTTTGAGGTAGCTCGTCTAGAGCGACGTAAAACCTCACCCTCTTTTAGGCGCCTGCACAACCATGTTGTGCAGCGTAAGTCCTAACTCGCCTTAGGTTTCGAGGTTGTCATCTAGAATGACGTAAAACCTCTTATCTTTGCGGGCTATTTGCATAACCAGTTATTATGCAAATATAAGTCCCAACTAATAAAATTGACGGGATTTAACATTCAAATAAAATCCTCTCTAAAACACAGCCACACAGTAGTCACTGAGGATTTCCCTCAGAATCTGTGACATCCCCTACCTTTTATTTCCTTTGGACTCCTGAAAGGATTGTTCTTATTTGAACAATTCTCACTTGTTTTTTCACGTTTTACCTTGAAAACCTGAACTTTGAATTCTTGAATACTAGAACCACTGATCATTATCGAAAGTTTTCTCAAGTGATTCCCGTCACTTGGGATGTAAATAACTATAGGGGTTTGCCTCTATAGGGAACTTGGAATCCATGTAAAATAAACTCTATTTAATCTTTGTATTAAATAGGGGAATTTGTCAGTCACATATAAAAGGTTCGCAGACCAAATGGATGTCACAAACCTCGTAGTTTGTATGATTGGGTCTATCGCCGCGGGGTACACTTATCTTTCGAGAAGGTGTATCATTTGTGGTACCGGACACGATTATACAAATTTATTGGGTAAATGAGATCCAGTCGGTCTCATTTTTTAAAATTAAAATACACTATTTTCATAAAATTATATACCTTTTAGGTTAAATTAAATCATCTACTTTTCAAAACTATAAAAATACTTTTCGAAATCAAAAAGTTGACAGACAATAGTGTTCATGTTTTTTCATCACTTCCTTTTTCATCAAGGTCTATTTTTGTCATGGTTCAGTTAGGGTTCCACATGAGTTGCATTCCCTCATCTTTTTTTTTTATACAACAGACTCATAATATATTTTGTTGGGAGAAAAATATATATTTTTTTCGATTGAAGTACTTTTATTCCCAAAAAAAATATTGAGTTTTTTTAGCTCTCTGATTGGATTTTTTTAATAAGTCTTTTTCTGAGAGTTTTTTTCTCTTGATTGTCATCTCCTATAACAATCATATCTTCAATATATATAATAGTGATAGAAATTTTATGCTTTGGAGAATGCTTTGTGAAGAGAGTATGGTCTTCTTGACTTTGTTTGTGTCTAACTCCTTTCATAACTCTTGTATCTGTCAAACCAATTTTTTGGTTATTATTTCAGTCCGTATAAGGTCATTTTGAATCTGCATGGCCATCAAATTTGTGTGGTGAATCCTTATATACCTCGTCTTCTACATCCCCATGTAAGAAATATGTTTTTTACATCATATTGTTGTGTAAGCAACCATGATTTGCTGCTAATGATATCATAATACAAATAGTTTCCATTTTTGCAATAAGAACAAATGTTTGTTAATAGTCAATCTCATATGACCGAGTATATCATTTTGCCATCAATCTTGCTTTGTTCTTTTCTAGGCTGCCATTTATTTTGTATTTGATTGTGAAAATTCATTTGTATTCGACTGGCTTCGTATCTTTTGGTAATTCAATGATTTCCATTTTATGATTTTTTTTTTTTCAAGGCATTCATGCCTTTTCTCATGACATTCTTTGAATTTTTATTTTCAAGTACTTCAACTAGAGTTTGGGGAACGAAAATGAGGTTGGTGTTGATACTAATTAGAAAAGGCCTTATGAGAAGGAGAAAATTTATGAAATAAGTTTTATTGAGAGATGAGGTATAAATAAGTGGTAGTGAGTTAATTAGTGTTCCCAATAATGATTTTGAGTCTTGAACTTGCTTGAGATTCTTACAAGGCTTATTCCTTCATGTACAAACTTGAAGAGATACATTTGATACTATATTTGAATTTGTAATTTTTTGTGTTACTAGAATGTTAAGATGAAGAATATGATTGAACTTATCTTCAGGTTGGAAATTTGTCCCTTAAAGATGAGTTTGAGTGAAGAAGTTATGAGTTTTATTAGGAATGATGACCATTAGAAACTTTTTATTTGTGAATTATAGCACCTGTCTCCTTTTATGTGACATTATTTTATAAGTACTTACTTGAAAGCTCTTGAGTTAATTTTTTCTCTATATTATTTATGAATATGAACGTAAGCAACACATTCAGAAATTTTTGGAGTGATTTTTGAGAAGCTGTTTATCGGAAAGAATTCTCCCAAATAATTTATAAGATTTTCTTATTAAATTATTATGGAGGGTATTTTATTAATTAAATAAGTAGCTGTTGGAACAACTTCTCCATAATTTTTTGGCATTTCATTGTTGTGGAGAAATATCATAGTCACCTAAAAAAGGTGGCAATTTTTCCATTCAGTCACTTCATTTTGTTGAGTAGTGTCAGAGCATGAAAATTGGGGGATTATAAATTCTTTCTGAATGATAACCGATAATTTGTGATTGAAATAATTATGTATATTATTATTAAAAAAATTGATATTAGAGTCGAATTGGTTATTTATCATAATAGAAAATATATATATTATAATGCTGACATCATATTTGTCTTGAATTAAATATACTTATATCATTCAAGAGCAATCATAGATAAACATAATAAAATTGGTGGCTTCAGAGATATTACAGATTTTGGAGAGTCCCTAGATATCAAAATTTATTAATACAAAAGGACTAGAGATTCTAGAGTTACTTTTAGGAAATAAAACCAAATAATATTTCACAATTTTACAAGTCTTACAATGAAAATCTTATGAAAAGAGAACAAAACATATATTGAGGATTTTTAAAAGAAGGGTGGCCCGTTCTATAATTGTGTGCTCAGATGATGTCGGTGGTATGAGGGAGTGAGCATAACAACTGATTATCATCCTTGATTTGAGTGATACATGTCGTAACTGGTTTGATTTGGGTTTGATGTAATTCGTTCAGTTTTTAACTCCCTATTTTTCTCATTTTAAATCTTAAACTTTCACACAAAGCCACTAAATTTATTAATTTAATTTAGTATATTGGTTAATGTTATATTGTGAAATTAATTGGAATTAATTTTTATAATTGTAGTCCTAATCAACGTAATTATGTTCTTAGTTAATCAGAGAATTTACTTAACTCTAATTTTAGTTAATCATTGCATAATTTGGTCTACTGGATGGTAAAAAAAGTTTAATTAGCCAGGAAGGTATGGTTAACAAATCTACTCGATGAAGGATTGATTCTTATGACTAGTGATAGGCTTGCTTATTTGTTGTTGGCTTTTAGTCGATATCAACAATAGTTATTAATGCAAATATGGTGAATAGTTTATTTGTTTAAACATTAATTCTATGATTTAAAAATGATGCTGATAACTTTTCTGGTATCATGGAGATAGGCGTGGTCAGCTGATTAAAGATCAAAGTTGTCTTTTCTGGAGAAAAGTCTAGACTTGCAAACCTTGACTATGAGCTTGCAAGCTATGCCCGTGCTAGTTATGAAAAGAATCATAACACACAGATTTTCGACACATTAAAAATAATCTGAATTATTTATTTTATTCAATTGCATATTTTCTTACTATATTTTCAAGGACTAGCAAGCAGCTCAACCAGAGCAGGCTTGGGCTTGGCACATGCAGGTGAGGTCCAAGGATGTAAATGAGTCGAGCCGAGCTCAAGTTATGCTTAACTCAAGCTTGGCAAAATGCAAGCTCGAGCTTGAGCTGAAAATCAAATTATTATAGGAGCTCCTTTGATAAGGCATGCATCTATGACTGGAGTAGGGGTGTCACCACAACTCTTCAGAGAAGGCATCGACTAGTCAAAATAGCTCAAGAGCCCACAAGCCGAGCGTAGACAAACTTGAACTTGAGCTCGTGGCTCAATAAACTCGAGTCGTGAGCTTGTTAACGAGTCAAGCTCAAGTCTGCTCGGCTCACTAGCACTCCAAGTGAGGTCTGCCCCTTCCATTCATCAATTCCAGTACAAAATGATCTGATTTCCATGCTTTGTATTGACTTGACTTTATACAATCAGAAACTTTTTTATGGTTCTGATTTCAGATTATAAACCATGTAATTGATTTTCTTCTTACTGCAGATTAGCTTGTTGGAGATTCCTGAACAGAGAAGGAAAAGATTAACAACATTACCTACAAATGTTATGAGAGATGAAAATGACAAGGTTAGATTGTTATTTCCAATGAGAGAACTAGAGTTCCTAACTTTTCCATTTCTATGTAGTGATTTCCATTTTTCTATTTATTTCTCTAACAGAAAATTTCACACTTTCGGTGTTCTTTGTGTGATTTAATTCTCATGCATTAAACTACACAATAACTCAGGCTTGTTGAATGTGAAAATGTGAAAGCTGAAATGCCTCTCTGAATATATTTCTAGGTTTCAAGATTGGACGTAAATTATTTTTATCTGGGCCATGTTTGAGTTGGAAATAATGCTGTCCCAATTCAAAGCTGGTGGTGGCATTTGGGCTTGATCTGCTAAGTTTAAAGCCTGATCCTAACTTGAACCAGGAATAATTTATTGTATACCATTGCTTAGGTTTTGTTTTGGTTTGTTTTTTGGGTTCATCCTATCAACATCATTTGTTTGAGCTGTTTGTTGGAATGGATGGTGGCATAGCATATTAAAAACCTAATTCCCTTTTTTTATGTTTAACCTGTCTGTGTTGACCCTCATTATTCTTTTAATATTGGTGATTTGCACATATGCCACATAGATCTTAATATTTACATATCCAATACCTAAATTTTAATATTTACTTGTATAACATCCAACTCTTTAGGATCATAATAAAAATACCACTGATATTACTTTTTTAAAATGTAGAGCACACCTTTTAATGCATACATGTTGATGAGATTATGGCACTAATGTGTTGTGAATAAATACCATAGTTTAGGCATTGAGTTTTTAAATGTATAAGAATTATGTAGTATGTATGTAAATCTTCTTTTTAAAATTCTACCATGCTAGCCACTGTGAAATAAAGAAGTGGTTTGATTAATCATCTTTCTCTTTCTCACACACTCCCTCCCACCCTCCCACCTCCCACCTCCAACCAATGCACGCTTGACTTTTTGTGAATATTTTTAGCTTTTTTTTTGCTCGCCATCTCTCAGCCCTTTTTGGAAGTATTATGTGGACGATTTCTTGTTTCTTTGCTGGGTTTAGGTTGAACACACTATTTTCTTAAATCTTGAAATCCTCATGATCGACCTTTATTTATGGATTTTTCTGTCCAATTTTAGTTATTATTTAGTTTGCGTTGGTTTCTCAGTTAAAATGAAGTGGAAATGTGGAAGAGAATGTAACAAGTTCATGTTATTTAGTGGCTTTCCATTGGACTCGAAGTATGGTGTGCTATACTCATACCCAATTAACTTGTTTCTAGTAATGAACATAGACTTGTAGATTTGTACTTGATGCTTTTCGCCATGCTTGGAGGCTTGTTGTGTAATACTCAAATTTTTTATAAGTTATAAATGTAACTCACCTAAAAATAAATTATATATAAATTTTAACTATTATAAAAACAATAAAAAAATCATTCTATGGCATTCTACATTTCAAATTGATCATGTTGATGCATATAAGTATAGTTAATTCTGAAAAAATAAGAAAGCTATGGAATTAGTTTTCATTTGAATAAAAAAAATTTCAAGTTTTCTTTTGATAATATGGTTCATTGGGAAGTGTATCATCTAGCAAGTTATGGAAATCCGAGTTTTTTCACTTAAATCGTCATGCAACGACTGGTGAAGATTTGGATGGTTCAGACGGTTTAGTTAATGATATCAATTTATATTTGCAAAGGAGTGTGTGTGTGTATGTGTATATAAATAAATAAACTATCACTCAAGTCATCAGCATTTAGCAATTAAGCTTCCTATCATATCATTCTCGTAGGAGGACAACAGATCTGAAGATGGTAGCAGGCTAATGGAGAAGGAAATGAAAAACAGAAGAAAAAGAAGAAATAAAAGAGGAAGAAGAAGAAATAGAGGGTGAAGAGGAGGAGAGTAGGAATATAATTTAATAATCTAATTTTTCTATTTTTCATCTGCAAAATAATCTCTCTTTGAGGTGGTAGGTTTCAACATGTGTACGAGGAGGAGATATTTTGTGGTAAAATGTCATTCAAAAATAAAGTGATTTAAATTTGTGTTGTTATGATAGGAATCAATTTAAATTGAGAATTTGATATTTGCATTTGATCACTTACAGTACCAAATGGAAGAAGTTTTCGGCGTCCAATTCAAGGAGGTTGATTGTCGGTTGTGTAATATATGCAAATTCTAACACATGAAGTAAACTTTTTTTTCGTTTTATTGCATGTGCATTTATGTGTGAGCTAGATTTAGGTTTGCAATACATCAAAAAATTCCTCATTTAGAATTCATGTTGAAACTTAGTAATGTGTAAATCACCACACATAAATTTTAATGATAGAAGCTCTCAATTAAATGTATTATGATTATATAAATATTTTATTAACACTTCTAAATGAAGGCATCTAACAATTCTAAATTGCTTATTTATTCATACAGTTGTTCAGTTTATTTTTAAAGAAAAAATGAATCACATATTTATTGTATCATTCAATGAGGAAAATATTTAGAGCTTTAAAAATGTTATATCGTGAGAATAGGTTGCAGTTGCATGTTTACAATAGTTGTATATAAAAAACATTTCAAAAAGTCGGAAAAAGGAAAACATTGTTTAGCCAAACAAAGTATTTTAGAGTTTTCTGTAACGGTCTATAGAACTAAAGAGTGAAAAACTGTCCTAAATGAATCTTATAATATAAAGCATTTTAAAAGCCTTTTAGTTAAATCTCCTTAAGCTAGGCCTATGTTAACTTTTGTGATTCCTCTGCCATTTCAGTGAAGAATTGGTTTAGTTTTATTGACTTTGAGTGGAATTGTTTAAGCTCACTGGAGTTTTTGCCTGTGCAAATTTGGACTTCTTTGTGTTGGCGTTGTTTTATTTCAAGAATGAATCTGTGCTATTTGCTGAAGTATCTGTGTGGAATTTTATCTCTCGGGAAAGCAATATTTTATTACCAACCTTTCTGTTAATGCACAAGAATTAAGACTGAAGCACGAAAAACCAGTAAAAAACTGCCCCAACTGGAATTTCAAAAAAGAAAACTTCATCTAAAGAAAAATGATTACAGCACGCAATCAAAAGTTGAACCCTGAAGACGTTTACTCCCATTTTTTTTAATTGAATGAAGCGTAACCATGCATAGTAAATAAAACATACATATTTTAATTTTGTTATTATAAATTATATGAATCCTAGTTTGTGATAACATCACATTGAATTTTTCGAGCACATGCTTACTATCTATGATCTTAAACTCAGAGGACATTATAATCTTTTATATTGCTCGACTTTACAGGTTCTTGTTCTTGGCCAGCCTGGAGAGGAAGTGAGCTTAGAACTGATACTTAGAGTGGTTGCTGATGTAGGTCTTGTGGTAAGGGCAAATTATGCCTGTTTTACTCAAAAACACACTTATAGCTATTAATTTGTTTATAACCTTATCGTTCTGGTACTTAAATGCATTGATGCTGTCGTCAAGGAATTACCTTTTACTAAATGGGAAATTTACATATCTTAGCACACAATTCTTATTTATTTACATAACTCATGCCTAAACATTCATATTTACATACATAGCACTTGTTTTAAACCTATGCATGGAAAGGTGTATTTGACTTTTAAAAAGTAGTTATAGTGCTAATTTTCATGTGATATTAAGCATTTGAGTGCTAGGGGTGTAAATAAGAATGTTTTGGTGTGTGACATGTAATTGTAAATGCATAAGAGTTGTGTGCTAAGGTATGTAAATTTCCCATTTAGTAAAAGGTAATTCCTTGACACCAATATCAATCCATACTCAGTTCAGACAGGTTATATTCCAGTACATCAGAGCTGCTTATTTTTGTGCCAAATTGGCACTTAAACATAGTTTTTCTGTTACACATGTACCCAAGTCACGTGGGCTTTTTTCCATTTTGAGAGATGATAGATCTCATTCTGCAAATACTTGGTAGCATTTTTTGCTTTTTGTAACTATTTGATATGGTAATGCAATATGCTCATTTCAAGAAATAGAGTGGAACTTTTTACTATTGTTCACTTTGTCTGGAGTCCGATGCTTTTAAAGTTGAGTGATTTACTTGTTTCTAGTTGTTGCTTGGCTTCATTCATATTTCTTTCTTATTGAGTAATGGATACATTGAATTTAGAATTTGCTGGCATTATGTCCCCTCTCCCCTACTGTTGATGTTAGATATAGAAGCCATTTCCTACCTTTCTTTTATGTGTTTTTTTTATTTCAACCCATCTACAGGTAAGAAACGTTTTCATTGGTGGTTATGGGTACAGTTTACTTCGAATTTATCCTAGTAAGGATTTTCATTTAATTACCTGGTCCCAAGAAAAGAAGAATACATGATTTTCTAACCCAAACATTTTTTAATGAATCAATAAGTTCTTTTTTTAATCAAATTCATTGATGTCCCTGCCAATTATGTTATATTTTTCCCTTTATTTCTGTAAGATGCGAACTGTGAGATTAATGGTATTCATATTCACTTCAAAACTAAGACAAAAAAAATAATAATAATAACTGCTCCAGAACTTTAAGCATCTTATTACAGTAGCTCGTTTTGTTGTACTTGTCCAAATTTCATGAACAGTAAAGTGAAATGTGGCTTGAAAATACATACCTTTGCAGAACCTTGGGTGCTTCATTAATGATGTAATAGTCCCTTTCTTTCTGCCTGCATAAGATGATTTCCTTGCAAACTTTTTTGGGGCATTTACATACATACCGCCCAATTCCTATGTATTGAGGAACTAACTTATGCCCAGTGGTGGCAGTTGCCCGCCCTTAATTACACTTTTTATGTTATGAAGATACTTTTTTCATAAATTTGCCCACTCTCAATTTTCAACTTTGCCCATTTATCATAAAAGATGTCTAAATTAGTTTTTTTCAATAAATTATTTTATTAATTGAATTAAAGATTTCTGATTTTTTACATTTTTATGCATTTATATTTTCTTCTTATAAATTTGGTGATATTATCTTTTTTTTTTTTTTTTGCTAAAAGAAATATTTTTTGTATTTTAATCATTTATGTACCATATTATCTGATAACAAGGATTGGTTCCGCTCCTTTTAATTTACATATCTAACACCTAAACTTTACTTATTACATCTATACCACCCAAATCTTTCATATCACATAAAAAAATCCCACCATTTCAACTTTTAAAGAGTTAAACACACCATTTGATGTATAGGTAAGGTGGTATGTGTGCAGAAATTGAAGTTTGGGTGTTAGACTTGTAACTGCATGTTTTTTTTTCCTTTTTTTTTTTTCCGGCGCATTTCAAAAACTGCTCTACATTTCTGCCTTATTATTGCTGAACTTGGCTGCTTAACATCATTCCTAAAATCATTTTGGTGAATGTGATCTTTTTCTCTTCTTTTAGGGGCTTCCAAATGCTGGGAAATCAACTCTGTTGGCTGCAATCACACTTGCAAAACCTGGCATTGCTGACTATCCTTTCACAACACTCATGCCAAATCTTGGTCATCTCGATGGAGACCCTCTGTTAGGGGCATCAAGTTATACATCTGGAGCCACCTTAGCAGATATGCCAGGCCTTATTGAAGGTGCTCATTTAGGGAAGGTGCTGCTTTTCCCTTTCCCTTTATGCTAATAGTATATGCTTTTCAAGCAAAAAATACCTTTTTTTTTTTTTGTAAATAAAAAATTTGCAGGGTCTTGGTCGCAACTTCTTGAGGCACCTGAGGCGAACTAGGCTTTTGGTTCATGTTGTTGATGCAGCAGCTGAAAATCCCGTGAATGATTATATGACCGTGAAGGAGGTAAACTCAACCTTCACTTGCCTGATTTAGTGAGCCGCTTTTATGGAAAAAGTTGGCTTCTGCTAATTCTCTTGGCGTGTTACCAAATTTGCAAGCATACTTAGTTTATATGCATTTGCCAATGCAATTTATTTGGATTAAACAATAGACATAGTGACACCATTCTAGATTTTTTAGAAGGTATTTAAGAAGTGGATCTAGTGGGGAGATGTTGGGGAAGGGGAAACGGTGGCAAATATGTGACTTTATAGAGGTTGGAAGGGTGAAAGGGCAGCTTGGCTGCAATACAGGAGGAAGGGCAGCAAAGTGGTGGATGATCGGGAGCATGCAAGTCATCGTGGAGGTTCCACCACCTGTTATCTTCAAGGTTCAAATTTACCACTTGAATAAAAATAGGTTATAACTATTCAAATTGAAGAAAACAGAGAGAATTTTTGCAAATAACATATATCAAAAGCAAAGGTCTTAAAATCAGGTTTAAAGCAACATACTTGTACTAAGAGAAGTTAAAATCCTATTGCGACACCAAACAGGCAACAAAATCTTGTTACAGAAATTTCACGGGACAAAAATCCCGTCCTGTTCGATCCCGCATGTGCTAGAGTTTGCGGGATCCGCCCTTACGTCACTTTCCCCAGGAAGGAGAGGTTTCGCCTTTTGCTCTGAAAACATCTGGAACGTCGTAATACGACAAGAAGTCAGCGATGTTAAATGTAACATAAATATTATAGTCTTCTAATATATCAATTTTGTGTACATTTCCATTAATCTTTTTAACAATTTGGAATGGGTCACGTCTGGGCTGGAGTTTTTCAAATGAACTTGTAAGTAATTGCTTTATCTGCAGTCTAACTGATACCAAATAACCTTTCTTGAAGACTTGGATATGTTAATCTGCTTCTAATAGTTAGTTTTATACTTGTCAATTTTCTTCCTCTCACATACAAAACCACCTGAGCCACCTCCATTAATTTTTGCATCAAATAAAGTTGTGTGCTTGGGTGAGCTATATAGTATTTTTTGCACCAACTTGCCAAGCTTGCTTATTCTTTGAGAGCCATCCACACATTGTAGCTATTGTGACACTGATACATTAATTCTCAAAGTGTAGAAAGTTGTTTATTTGTTGCGCTACACCTAGAAGTGCTTTGAAAACCTCAACACGGAAATTTTCATAGGTTGTATGTTTGGTAGGTTCTCTAATTGCATAGCTCCATTCAAGTTCAATAGCCGTAAATTCATCATCGTGTTCAACATACTTTTCTAAGAATATTTCTCCAGGTAATGACTTTGGAAGCTTCTTTCCATATGCATCTTCATCTGTGTGTGGGAAGTTTGCACAAATAATCAAGGGATGCTTCACTTTTAGCCCGCTCAATATTCTTTTCTTCGTGCTTGTCAAATTAAGTATCATCAACATTTATGGGTACAAATGTGCTACCCACTGAATAAAATAACAAGGAATTTGCTATAGACTACCATCTTTCGACCCATGAATGTACCTATTGATGTGGGAGTTGTTCGCTCTGCTACAGTACCACAAAGTTCTGCGGGCGAGTGCAGCTTGGGCTAGTCCACATGAGGGCTGGTGTGGATTTCCCTCCTATTTGGAGTGGGATTCACTCTTATTTACCGTAAGTCTATAAATATGTTTTTTTTTTCATATTTTTTTAGTATAGTTTTGGATTGCATTTCTGTCGGGACAGCAGTTGGCATTAGGTTTTCCTCTTCTAGGGCTGTATCCAAAGATGGTGGTGCTCTGTTTGCAGTCCGTCCGAGGTGGTGATCTCGTTCCAAGTGTTGGAGCGGTCATGTTGACATTTATCCCCTATACTTCTGCCTTCGTTGTCGCCACTACCTTTCCTTGCTGTCCAACTCGATGTCGGAACCACCGGACAGCAACCTTGTTGTCATTCTGCAACTCCAACTACCGACCACCACCTCCTCCACCTGTTGCCATCCCTTTCGGCCACCTCCCACCTTGCTGCCATTCGTTCCCACCGTCTGTCTTGGCTGTCCAGCAATACCCCTAGTTGTTGCAACCCGGGACAGCCCTCCCTTTGTTGTCCCGCAGCCCCACACATTCACAGTTCCCGCCATCTTCA